TCAAGATAGCTGGTCCAGACCTACTCTTGGGGGGCCCGGCAGCAAGAAGGTAGGATTCCTTAATGGAGTAGACATTTTATTCGGGGTGGGACATTTTGGGTGTTAAAAGTAAGGGAAAAAGATGGCTTTAAAAGGCCAATTAAAAAAGCCTCCATCCATGCCATAGATTGCCCTCAGATTGGAAGCATTCCCCCATAAACCTACTGGCTAACAGATTTCCCAGTCAGGAAATTAGACACTTTTTTCACACACCATAGAGAAGAAATTCAACTAGGTGGTGAGTTGAGGCCCTTAACTAACCATTAATTAACTACTTAGGGGCTTTAATTGATGGCAGGTCAAGAAAGCCCCCCCCAGTAGACATTCTCACTTGAAACTTAGCTAGCTAATAACTTCATCATTTTAAAAAAATGTAATGTATTTTTCCCCATCAACTTGTTCAGAAATGTTATTACACACCTCTGGAGCACGTGGGACTTGAACCTGGACCTTCTGGTGTAGGGTAGGTACATTACCACTATACCACAAGAGGGCCCTTTTATCACTTTCTATTTCAGTAAATTACAGCAATTCCAGCTATCAGTTAATTTAGAATTGAAGTGAAAAGTATCAGAGGGCTACATATGAGCTTGAACTCATTCTTCATTCATAGGTCACTCGGAGGACATGCCTGATGTTCAATTGTGACAATACATTGCAACTTTCCAAAAATTTTTGATCCTCTCCTGTTGCTAATCTTTCAGCAAGTTCTTTAAAACTAAGAAGGCTAGAACAAAATATACAATGATACATTTGCCTTCAATTCACCGGGCCAGAAAGTTAGCTTCAGTCAGCAAGTCTTCATCAAAACTGCCTAACTGCCTAGGTCCCAACCTTCAAGGGAAGACAATAGCAAACATGGATGGTGAGTACAGAGGGGAGGTGATGGCATAGACAATTAATCCAGAGACATAGGTAGTGTTCTGGGGACCCAGGTTCAACTCCAAACAGATATTGGAATTGGAATCCACTAGAAATCTGGAAGTAAGAATTTAATGGTGACTTGAAACTGTTGCCACTTTGTCAGAAAAACCCATCTCGTTCAGTAACGTCCTTTAGGTAAGGAACTGCAGACCTTACCCCATCTGGCCTACACGTGACTCCAGATCCACAGCAATGAATCTTAACTGCCCGTTATCAGTTACGGATGGGCAATAAATGCTGGCCTGGCCAGCAATGCCCACATCCTGTAAATGAATAACAAAACAAAAATCACAGAGGATCTGTGATCACAAACTGATGTGGTCAATTTACTACTGATGTGTCAGACAGTGACCAGGTCCACGTAACCACCATTCACAGCATTTGCAGGGTCACCAATTAACACAATGTATGGAGGGAGTGCACTAGTTCCATATTATCCAGATAACAGCCTGCATCTAATCACTTTGGATGTTAACAACAGAATAGTTAGCACTGTTAGTACAGTACTGAGGAACAGCATTTTGGGTTCAAGTGTTGCAGCAGGATACAATAGAGGTTACACTTCCAGAACAGTACTGAAGGAGTGCTGCCTTACTAGTGCAATCTTTCAGTTGCACTACCAAACCTGTCTGCCCACACACCTGTTTCAGGTAAGTGTGAAAGATCCCAGAGTGCTATTAGAAGAGGAGCAGGACTGGGTGCTATATTTTGGGCCAATATTTAACCTAAACCAACGTCACAGAAAAAACAGTGTGCGCAATCTGGGAACTAATCCATTGTTATACATATAAGTTGTATACATCATGACAGTGAGTCCAAAGATACTTCTTAGACTGTGAAGCACTTTGGAATGCCTTGAAGCTGTGAACCATGGTTCACCAACAACATGTATTTATATAGCATCTTTAACTTAGTAAAGTATCCCAAAGCACTGAGGATGATTATCAAACAGATTCTAGATAATAGCAACCTGCTCAGCTGGTGAAAGGGAGAGGAAGGGTTGACTGTATTGTCTTAACCTTGGTCAAAATGAAGTCCACGAGTTGTTTGCATTTGTTGTTGGAGGTAAAGTTGGAAGTGAGGGGAGAGAACTTTTAAGAAGGTAATTTAGCAGCAGAGATAAAGTAGACAGGGCACAAGCACAATTCTGGAATCGTGATAAGTTTTAGCAGATGAGAGGAGAACCCAAGTGTTTTCAGTGGAGTCTAGTTAGATCTGATAGTGAATGGCTAAAACCAGTTCTCAGCCATATCCATTCAAGTTTGTTTCACTTAAATCCAAGTCAAATGGAGCTGATGTGCCATCCCAGGGAAGCAGTCGGAGTGAGAGGGAGGGTGTGATTGAGTGAATTGTCAGCCACGGAAAAGTTGTATAAACATGTACTTTATTAATTACATAATTACATTTGGCAGGAAAACAGAAGATGGGGAAATCTGTGACCACAACCACAAAAAAGGCAGAGACCAGGAAATAAACCTTTGCAAAAAATAACATGATACCTAAGACATTGTTCAAAGAAAACAAAACTCCTAAGTTGACAATCACATCAGCTTAGAAAACAAAGAAACCAAAAACCACTTGCCCTGAATCACTTCAGAGATAGTAGGAACTGCAGATGCTGGAGAATCTGAGATAAGGGTCTAGGCCTGAAGCCTTCCTGCTCCTCTGATGCTGCTTGGCCTGCTGTGTTCATTCAGCTCTACACCTTGTTATCTGTTTGCCCTGAATCACTGACATAATTACACAATAATTTGACAAGATTACTTAACCTGATTCTCAATGATTTAGATACAGTACCAGAAAGGCTTTCTTTCTGATTTGCTCTCAGAAGAATGTGTCACTCAGTTTGGGGAGGACTTCCTGGTGAGCTGTTTATTTAAACTTCGGACCCTTCCTCAAGCAACTTGGAGGTGAGCCCAGAAGCAGAACGAAGAAGCTGTTCCTTCTGTTGATCACCGCTACTGTCCTGCCTTCTGTGAGTTTACTTGTAATTTTATCAGCTTCAGATCACTTCAAGGTGTTGCTGTTGTGAGTTTTCAGATCAGCTGTGGTTCAACGCCCCTTGCCTCCAAGTTAGATGTTAGCTCTGGGTTTAAACTCCAGTCTGGACGGCATGGTGTCTCAGTGGTTAGCAACCTGCCTCACAGTGCCAGGGACCCAGGTTTGATTCCAGCCTCCAGTGACTGTCTTGTGGAGTTTACACATTCTCCCAGTGTTTGTGTGGGTTTCCTCTCACAGCCCAAAGATGTGCAGGTTTGGTGGATTGGCCATGCTAAATTGCCCATAGTGTCCAGGGATGTGCAGGCCAGGTGGGTTAGCCATGGGAAATGCAGAATTGCAGGGCAGGTCTGTGTGGACAGCTCTTTAGAGGCTCGGTAAGGGCTGAATGGCCTGCTTCTACACCGTAGGCATTTTATCCAATGATTCCAGAGATTTGAATATGTAATCTAGCCTGCAAATCCAGTGCAGTGCTCAGGAGTGCTGCATGGTTGGAGGTGTCGTTTTTCAAAATCAAGGCTTCGTCCCTTGTTCCAAGTGCATGGAACAGATCCAATGACACTGTTTCAAAGAAGAACAGTTGAGTTTGTCGCTTGTGTCCTGGCCAATGTTTGTTCCTCAACCAACAGCACTGAAATCATTAATCTCATTGCATGATCTTGTTGCAAACTGACTAATACATTTGCTCTTAAAATGTATAGCTGTACTTACTCAAAGCTGTTTACTGTCATCTTGGCATACAATGTTGGCAGTACTTTGTGCTGTGGGAAGAGTTAGACTTGGGTCAACCTGCCTCTTCCAATAAACTATTGATATATCACATCAAATTGTTCCCAGGATCTGGGATGATTTAGGAGAACTTCACAGAAACTTCATTCCAGACTAACCCTACAGATGAGTCAGGATACAGAGTAGACCATTTCAGACTGAGATAAGGAGAAACATGTCCATTTGGAGGTTAGTAACTTAGAAATTAAAATTAAAAAGAATTCTCTTGCACAGAAAACTGTGGAGGCTGGGACACTGAATATATTTTAAAAAGCAATAGATTTCTTCTAAGGGTGTCACAGGGCAGAAGGAGAAAGCAGAAGAAGAGTGTTGAGAAAGAGGATTGGTCGTGATCGTTTTGAATGACAGTGGGAACTCAATGGGATAAATAGCCTACTCCTGTTTCTATTTTCTATGTTTTTGTGTTAAGTTCAGAATTTGTATTAAAACTTTTGTAGAGGGAACTGTATGAAACTCTTCCTCCAGTTCAACATGCATGTAGGTCAAAGGTACAACTGCGGCCTGGAGCACTGACGCTTTGTTCACTCAAATTCATTGATAGTGCACAGCAGCACCAAAGTTTACTGAAATGATCACTAATGTCAACTATTCACACAGTGACAATGCTGCATTAATGAAGGGTGAGAGATGACTGGAGGGCAATGATCCATCAGCATTGCAGAATAAATAGAGAGGCTTCAGTTTTCTGTGAAGCTTTACGTAAGTGTGATAAGTTGAGACATAACATGGAGAAATTGTCCCAGTAATGAATGTTAGAACAAGAAGGACCCTGATTTCAGGTAAATTGAGAGGATGGGGGTGGGGAGGGGAATTAGGAGAAATTGCTTTTACACAAATTGCAATGTGTTGCCTGAAAATTGAAAAGGAATGGAATTCTCAAAAGTTTGGAGCTGTAGAGAAAGTGTACATAAGGCAGACTAATCAAAACACTCTTTCAAAGAGCATGATGACCTGAATAGTCCTTCTGTTGGGGCTGTATGATTTTATAATTATATTAAATAGCTGATAATGCATGGGCTCTGGAAACAAAGAGAGGCAAAATTTCCTAAAGATGGGGGCACAACACTGCCAGTAAGAAAGCTGCCAATTGTAAATCTGAAAGGTAAATTGGATGGCGTGTGTAACTGTACATTTTAATGGTTGAGGTGAATAATAGGTACAAAGATACAAAATGCAAACAAATTGTTTGCAGCAGCTTTACTGGTAAGGGGGTAAAACAGGGTGAGGAATGGTATCAGTTCATACCAGTGATGAATGTACGATATCTACATCTGCAGTCTGCCATCAATGTCAATGGGACAGTCAACAATGATGGAGTTTGTCTCTGCTCTGTGGTTTTGCCTGATACATCATTCCCGGTGGAAAAGGTGGAATATTTGGAAATAACATCTGAGGAGCTCAACAGCAGCATGGAACAGGAAATCAGCAAGGTATATTTATTACTGTAGTAACTTCCAGCCACTTTCAGACTGTATAAATAACTTAGCTCTTACATTTAATGCCATAGACCTGAGTGAAAACTGTGGTGAGATGATTAGTTGTAGGGCATGCCCAGTCCCATGACATTCATAAATATTGATGGATGAAATGGATGGGTGATTATCAATGGAGAATATTTGTTGGTGAAATGGAGAATATTTGCCAATAATATCCCCTTGATTTTACATTACCCAGTCCTCCACTGGACTTGAAATGTCAACTCTGTTTCTCTTTCCATAGAATCTGCCTGACCTGCTGAGTTTCTCCAGTAATTTCTGATTTTATATTAAAGATCATTTGTATTTGTTAAACTGATAGACACTTCAATTATGATATGTGCATTATGCAAAATTAAGTGTGTTTTAATTATTAACCTGAAAGGTTTTTGTTTTACATTTTTCACATTACAATATGAAAGCATGTTGGGAATTGTTAATACTTGCCCACCAGCATTAACATACCGTTCCTCGACACTATTATCGTCAGTTTGTGAAGAAAGCAAAGTTTGTATTCATTGAAAATATTGTAGTCATGAGAAACTTGTGAAGGATTCATTACAAAGTGTTAGCATGTACAAATCACACGAACTACGACATGGTAACTGTGTACTGTGGTGAGTAGTGAAGATGGTTTGGCAATTGTGGAAGTGGCTGTAACTCCACACATTTACTGTGATGTTCCAGGTACAGGAATACTCGAGGGCTGTCTCTGTACACTCCGCCAAGCTGCTGAATCTGACACGCCGCCTGGAGAAGATGGAAACTGGTCATTCCTACACTCAGCTCGACTTTGAGCTGTTGAAGCTGGAGATCCAAGAGCTGGAGTCACTCACCAATCAGCTGAGGTGCTCCCTTAATGGCAGCAACAGCATCATCAATCAGCTCTACAGTGAGGTCAGGAAGAGTCAAATTGCTCTGTTTATGATAGTCATAGGGTCACACGGCACTGACACAGACTCTTCTGTCCAATCAGTCCATGCCGAACACAATCCCAAACTAAACTAGTCCCACCTGCCTCCTCCTGGCCCATATCCCTCCAAACCTTTCCTGTTCACGTACTTATCCAAAATGTCTTTTAAACATTGTAACTGTACTGCATTCACCACTTTCACTTGCGAACCACCTTGTATTTGCCCTCAAGTCTTTTTTTAAATCTGTCTCCACTCACCCTGAAAATATACCCACTAGTCTTGAAATCCCCCATCCTAGGGAAAAGACAACTACCATTCACCCTATCCATACCACTCATTATTTTATAACCTTCTATAATGTCACCTCTCAACCTCTTATGCTCCAGTGAAAAAAGTCCCAGCCTTTCTTTATAACTCAAACATTTCATACCCGGCAACATCCTACTAACCTTTCTATAACTGGGCGACCGCAACTGGATACCATATTGCAGAAGAGGCCTCACAAACGTACTCTACAACCTCAACATAATGTCCCAACTCCTACATAATTCATCTATGCTTCATTTGAAAAGTCCAGGGCTGCTTCTTATGATCGTGAATTAATGGTTTTGATTTTAGCAATGCTAAAGTCCATGAACTCCTCACAATTATTACCGAAGGTGAAAGTGAGAATGGAGGAATCAGTTGATGGAAGGGGATGACACTGGAGTGAGGAGTCATCTTCAGATTATGGGATGTTCTTTGAACAAGCAGTTTCACTGATGGATGGCAGACCTAAATATCTTATGCCAGATTTGGTGAAGGAAGAGTAAACCAGATATCTGAAAATATATTCAAATCCGTGTGTCTTAGAGAAGGAATATACTGATGCAGTAACAGGGGTAAGAATGTGTATGATTTTAACGGGAAGAAGGAGGAGGCCGTGCCATAAAAGTGATGTCGTCTTGTGTTTCTCTGTTCTGAGCTGGTTGAGTGCTTTACATCTTTAGAACACTGGCGAATCGCCAGAGGAGCATACTGTAGAGATTTACTGATCTGCTGGAGGGCGGGATATTAGTCACAGCAACAACAACAACAACAACAACTTGCTTTTTTAAGGGCTTTTGAAGGAGTCAGACATCCCAAGGCACTTCACAGGAGCAATAACAAACAAAATTTAACTGGGAGCAGAGATTAGTGATATAATTTAAGGGACATCTTAAAGGAGGAGATAGAAAGAGAAAGAAGAACAGTTTAAGGGTAAATTCCAGTGTTTAGGGTTATAGGTGGTAGAGCAATGAAAATTGGAGAAGCACAAAAGGCTGGGATGCAGAACAAAAAATACTATTAACCGTTATATGCACAACATTATTTTAAGGGATCATACAACATAAATATCTGCACAACTCGTGCCGTTGTGACTGGTGTTTTAATTCAGTTCCTCATACTGTTGAGATCAAGAAGTCCAGTCATATGTTTGGGGGTGTACATAACAAGGCGGCATAACCTTAAATGAGAGTTTGAGTATTCAGGGATCGTGTTTATGAGCACTTCACACAAAAGGGTGCTGAAATCTGGAGGCCTCTCTCTCGGAAAGCTGCTGAGGCTGAGGGTCAGTTGAAAATTTCCAAGCTAGCTTTGATAGATTATTGTCATTTAAAGAGAGTAATGGTTACAGAACTCAGACAGGCAAATGACCATGAAAATACAGATCACCTACAGTGATAATGAAAGGCAGAACCTACTCAAAAGGGCTGAATGGCCTCCTTATATCTCCATGATTCGAAATGGCCTGTTTATTTCGGATTACAAAAATGTCACGTACTGTCAGTGAGCTGGAATCGTTTGACACACAAAACATGCTGGCATTCCGCAAAGAAATTGTGCTGCTGAGGAAACAGATCGCAGACTGTGATAATCAAGCACTTCCAACTCATGCTCCCATTGAATACAGTGAGTAATTGATCTGCTAAGAGTCACACAATATAATGACACCACTATCAAGATGGGGTTCAGAATTCATCCATTTATAAGAAAATATACAAAGTATGATAAATATTTCACAAACCAAAATGTTTACAGTTGTAACATTTTTGCTTAGAAACTTACAGACAACTTAGTGTACCCGAGATATAATGGCTCAGATTTGCCCATCAGGATGGGGAATCCTATTTTTAACCCTGATCTGAAAAAACAAATACACACTTACCTTCATCGGAATTTTGGAGTGATCTTCCAATGGAGGATCTTTTAGAACCGACTTAATGCACCAATCCTTGAGAGAGGTGTGCAAAAAAACCAGAGCAGTAGCTTCTGTACTCCAAAGAAATGTCCCAAAGCTTCATCAAAAAGCCATGGAGATGAGGTGCATAGTAGGGTAGATAGGCTAAGTGGATAAATTGATAGAGTGGCAGGCGGCTGTGTGGCAGGTAGATAAAATGGCTCAGGACATAGGCACATTGAAGTTAGCTGAGGTGAGACAGGAGACTCCCTGAGCAATTTCCAAGATATCTATACATTCCCTTAGCACATTTTCTGGGGTAGGTCAGTCGCTGACCGGACAGGAGGATCTGTGCCAGTATATCACTATAACAACAATCCAATTGCCAGAAGTTGAATTTGAAAAGCTTAAGTATACAAAGACAAACTGGAGCTTACTTTCTTTCCCCAAACAGGCATTCTCCAAATAGACAAACCTACTATAATACAACGGAACTATAATGGATTTAATTATAAATGTGGAGGGGGGGTAAAAATTCAATTCCACCCCCTAATAAAGAGGAGCTGTATTGGGTGGCACCACTCCACAAAGACACACGGACGCTGTACTCCTTCAGAGTGTATTACTCATATGATGATTTGCTACTCTACAAAACTTCAATAACCGAATCATCTTCGAGTTCTATACACAGAGCACAGGGAAGTAGAATTGTTTTGTACAATAATTCCTTGTATTACAACTGTTACAATTCCAGGGACATGTGCAGGTATAACATTGACACAGGCAGAGTACAGAGAGAAACTCTTAGAGGTGCAGCTTTCAATAACAGGTATTCTTATGCAGGGATCATTTACCAAGACATGGACTTTGCTGTGGATGAAACTGGCCTCTGGATTATTTACTGCCCTGAAGCAAATGCCGGAAATGCTGTTATTGGTAAGATTAGGGGAGTCGACGTCCTAGGGTATTATCACTAGACTATTAATCTAGAGACCCAGATAATGTTTATGGGGAGATGATGACACAATTGTAATGTCATTGGACTCGGAATCAAGGGGCACGGTTTAATGCTGTGGGGACATGGGTTCAAATCTCACCATTATATTCAATTGATTAAAAAAAAATTGAGAGGTAGCCTGAGTAATAGTCACCATGATTCTTACTGGATAGGTACATGGGACTGAGATATTAGTCATGACATTAAAGGAAGGAGAGGACTGGCAGCTTTCTGGGCCAGGGTACAGGTGCTTTAGGCAGAGGAAAGCTTTACGTTACTTTAGGTAGAGTAAAGAGGGGAGGGGGGTTGTATTTTTGAATAAGGGGAATATCACAGCTGTAGTCAGAGATGAAATAACTGATGGATCATCCAGTGAGGCTTTGTGAGTGGAGCTAAGAAATAAGAAGGGAATGGTGACATTATTGGGGTTGTACTATAGGCCTTCAAATAGTCAACAGGAATTAGAGGAACAAATATGCAGGGAGACTGGGGAGACTTGCAGGAGCAATAGCGTTGTCATCGTGGGGGATTTTAATTTTCCTGACATAGACTGGGACTGCCATAGCGTTAAGGGCTTAGATGGGGTGGAATTTGTTAAATGTGTTTAGGAAAGTTTTCTCAAGCAGTATATAGAAGATCCTACTCAGGATGGGTCAAAACTGGACCTACTCTTGGGAAATAGGGCAGGACAGGTGACTGATAGCTCGAGTTCAAGGTCGAAATTACCTGTGAGGGTGAAGGGCAAGGTTGGCAGGAGTTGAGAACCCTGGAGGACAAGAGATATTGAGGCTTTGGCCAGGAAAAGGGAGGAGGCATGGCTCAGGTATATAGAGCTGGGATCAAGGGAATCACTGGAGGTATATAGGGGATACAGGAGTTTACAGAAGAAGGAAATCGGGGGGTGAGAAGGGGGCACGAGATAGCTTTGGCTGAGAAAATTAGGGTGAATCCAAAGAGATTCTTTAAATAAGTTAAAGGAAAAAGAATAACCAGAGAAAGAACAAGACTCCTTAAGGACCAAGTAGATAGATTTGTGTGGAACTGCAGGAGATGGGCGAGGTCCTCAATGAATATTTCTCCTCTGTGTTTACCATGGAGAAAGACATGAAGACATGGGAACTTGGGGAAGCAGTGGCAATATCTTGGGGAAAGTCCATATCACAATAGAAGTGGTATTGGAAGTATGAGAATGTGTGAAGGTGGATAAATCTCCTGGTCCTGACCAGATATATCCTGTAAGAGGGAAGAGAAGAAATTGCAGGGGCCCTGGCTGATATATTTGCATCGTTAGCCACGGGTGTGGTCTCAGAAGACTGGAGGGTAGCGAATGTTGTGCCCTTTGAAGCCCTATTCAAGAAGGGCTTCAAAGAAAAACCTAGGAATTATAGACCAGTAAGCCTAAAATCTGTGGTAGGTAAGTTGCTTGAGAAGATTCTGAGGGATAAGATGTATATGTATTTGGAAAGACAGGGTTTGATTAGGAGTAGTCAGCATGGCTTCATGCGTGGGAGATCATGCCTCACAAATTTGTTAGAGCTCTTTCATGAAGTGACCAGGAAGGCTGATGAGGGCAGGGCGGTAGACGTAGTCCATGGGATTTCAGTAAGGCCTTTGATAAGGTTCTACATGGTAGGCTGCTCTGGAAGGTTAGATCACATGGAATCCAGGGGTAGCTGGCAAATTGGATACACAGTTGGCTTGATGGTAGGAAGCAGAGAGTAATCGTGGAAGAACGTTTGTCGGACTGTAGGCCTGTGATTAGTGGTGTGCCTCAGGGGTGGGTCATGGGCCCATTGCTGTTTGTTATCTATATCAACGATTTGGATAAGAATGTACAAGGCACGATTAGTAAGTTTGCGGATGACACTAAACTGGGCAGTATCATTGACAGTGAGTAAGGTTATCAGAAATTGCAGCAGGATCTTAACCAAAAGAACTGCGGATGCTGTTAATCAGGAACAAAAACAAAGTTGCTGGAAAAGCTCAGCAGGTCTGGCAGCATCTTGGAGGAGGAAACAGAGTTATGGGTCCGGTGACACTTTCTCAGAACTTCCTCAGTTCTGAGGAAGGGTCACCGGACCCGAAACGTTAACTCTGTTTTCTCCTCCACAGATGCTGCCAGACCTGCTGAGCTTTTCCAGCAACTTTGTTTTTGTTGCAGCAGGATCTTGATCAGCTGGGGAAGTGGGCCGAGAAATGGCAAATGAGGTTTAATATAGTGTGAGGTGTTGCATTTTGAAAGTCAAATCAAGGTAGGAGTTTCATGGTGAATGGGACGGCCTTAGGGAGTGTAATGAAACAGAGGGACCTTGGAGTTCAGGTGCACAGTTCTCTGAAAGTGAACAGGGCAGTGAAGAAGGCTTTTGGCACGCTGACCTTCGTCAGTCAGGGCATTGAGTACAGAAGTTGGTAAGTTATGTTGCAGTTGTACAGGACTTTGGAGAGGCCACACTTGGAGAATCGTGTTCAGCTTTGGTCACTTTGCTATAGGAAGAATGTTATTAAACTGGAAAGTGTACAGAAGAAATTTATAAGGAATTTGCCAGGACTGAAGTGACTGAGTTATAGGGAGAGGTTGGACAAGCTAGGACTTTTTATTAGAGCTGGGAGCCTGGCAGGGGGAGTGGGGTGGGATGGGGGAATCTTATAGAAGTGTATAAGATCATGAGAGGCATGGATAGGGTGAATACACTCAGTCTTTTTCCCAGGGTTGGGGAATCGAGGACTAGAAGGCATCATTTTAAGGTATTCTTTCCCCTCTTACATCTGAGGGGCTTTTTTTACACAGAGGCTGGTAAGCATATGGATTGAACTACTAGCTGAAGTGGTTGAGGCAGGTACATTAACAACATTTAAAAGGCATTTGGATGAATTCATGGATAGGAAAGGTTTAGAAGGATATGGGCAAAGTGCAGGGTATGGGTTTAGAGTGAATGGACATTTTGGTCGGCACGGACCAGTTTGGGCCGATCGGCTCGTCTCCATGCAATAAAAATCTATGACTCTATTAATGTGACCACCTTCACTGTGGAAAAGACATGGGTCACCAGGCTGTTTAAACCTAGTGTGACCAATGCTTTTATGATATGTGGGGTTCTGTACGCAATTCGGCCTGCGAACCCACAGTCTGAGGAAATTTTCTACACCTTTGACACCAGAACTGGGCAGGAAGGTAGGGTTTCTGTAAGGATGGGTAAGGTCTTGGAAAAGCTGCAAAATGTTAACTACAATCCAGCTGATCACAAACTCTATGTATACAATGATGGTTACCACCTGACTTATGATGTGATGTTCAGACATGAACCACCAGTGAGCAGCAGTGTTGCCAATTGAGTAATTAGTAATTCACAAACCAAATGACTAGGTTTGGAAAGTGGGGTGGGGTGTGGATTCTCGGTCCACTGAGAAATTTCTGTGCTTGAATCTCAGGTTAGATTTAGACAACATGTTATCTACTTCTTCCCACCACAGCTTTAGCCTCAGTTTTACAGCTGGCAGCTGTTATCACAATATGCAGCTTTGGTGCAATAACTAAACCCAGAATGGGGGTGAAATTCTGATCTAACATCAGTGGTTAGCACTGCTGCCTCACAGCACCAGGGACCCAGGCTCGAATCCACCCTCAGGTAACTGTCTGTGTGGAGTTTGCACATTCTCCCCGTGTCTGCGTGGGTTTCCTCTGGGTGCTCCAGTTTCCTCCCACAGTCCAAAGATGCGCAGGCTAGGTGGATTGCCCATGCTAAATTGACCGTAGTGTTCAGGGATGTGTGGATTAGGTGGGTTATAGGGGGATGGGTCTGGGTGGGATGCTCCAAGTGTCAGTGTGGATTTGTTGGGCCAAAGGGCCTGTTTCCACACTGCAGGGATTCTATGATAACAGGTAGGCCAGGTGTATGTGGAGCTGTAATTGAACTGAGCTTTCATGGAACCATCATTTTCAAGGGACACCATCAATGTGACAATGTCTGTCAATAATTCTGGATGTGACAGTTTGTTTAATATCTGGACAACCATCCTGTTGGATAACATGCCACTGGTGGAAAACTCATTCATGACTGTTGTATTCATTCATTTTCTGTCTTTCTTGAATTGCTATTGAAAACATTTGCCAGATACAAATGGTTTGGAGATTTATCTGGAATTCTTAGCAAATTTAATAATAAATATCAACATCTACAACGAGTTCATTTCTGTGTCGTTAATTGTGTTTCTTTATTCTCATCTTCACTTTTAAGCCCTTTTCTCCCATCCTTAAACTCTTCTATAACTAATTACCTTCTTGATCATACCATGGCCTCACTGACAATTCAGCACAGTGCCATGTAACTCAGCTTCAGTCAATGTGACCCTTGATTCTGCCAATAGGCAGTCAACAAGATCATCCTGAACTCCCTCATTCAGTCGACTGTGTATGCGTTGCCTTCAGTCTCGCCCCTTCTGTGGGTACATTTTCCATCTGGCAGCAACCAAGAGAAGGGGCTGCAAATAACTTCAGCAGCATGTATTTATCAAGCGTCTTCGACATCAGACCCATAAAGGACAGGTGACTAACACATGGTCAAAGAGAGAGGTTTTAAGGGGATTCTTAAAAGAGATGAGAGCAAAGATAGAGACATTTCAGAAGCAGAAGACGAGGCTGATCATCAGTGTAGGAGGTTACAGGGATAAGGAGTGGGTGAAGCCAAGGAAGGATTTGAAAACAAGGACGAAAGTTTCAAAGCTGAGGTTTTGCTTAACCAGAAACACAGGAGTAATGGGTGAATCAGACTTGGATTGTGTGGGCAGCAGAGTCTGGGATGAGTTCAAGTTTCTGGAGTTTCAGCAGCACATGATTAAAACTGGAGGGAGTCAGGTGATGTTAGGAACAGGCGGAGGCCATTCAGTCCATCGTGCCTTCTCAGCCATTCAATACAAATGTGGCTGATTAAACATCATGCTTTTTACTCACCTCATTGCCAGAACCTGTACATCCCCACTGACAATCAAAAATCTATCAATCTATACCTTAAACATACACAAAGACTGAGCTTCCATAGCCCTCTGTGCTAGAGAATTTCAAAGGTTCACAATCTTCTGGGTAAAATAATTTCTTCTCATCTCAGACCTAAGTGGCATGTCCCTTATTTTTAAACTGTGCCCCCTGGTTTTAGACTTTCGAAACAGTGAAATATCTTACTTCTATCCACCCTGTCTACAACGTTAAATATTTTGTAGCTTTCAGTGAGATCATTTCTCATTTATTGAAATTCTAGAGAAAGCAGGCCCAGTTTGCTCAATCTCTCTTCATGTTGCAACCGTACAGGACATTGGTTAGGCCTCTTCTGGAATACTACATTGAATTCTGGTCTCCCTGCTATAAGAAGGATGTTGTGAAACTTGAAAGAGTTCAGAAAAGATTTACAAGGATATTGCCAGGGTTGGAGGGTTATAGGGAGAATCTATTTGTTGGTTGATTGTTGGAAAAACCCATCTGGTTCACTAATGTCCTTTACAGAAGGAAACTGCCAGCCTTACCTGGTCTGGTCTATATGTGACTCCAGACCCACAGCAATGTGGTTGACTCTCAACTGTTCTCTGGGCAATGAGGGATAGGCAACAAATGCTGCCCTAATTTGCCTCACCAAAATATACACAAAATCCCTTTGTAGCTTTAAGGCATCAACTCAATTTAATCCTTTTACAACCACAGCTTCCCAGTCTACATTAACTGTTGAAGAATTGAACACAGTGCAACTGCTGAAACTACGCACTCCAGAAGCCCATCTGTATGTTCTCCTTCTCTCGCTGATGGAATCAACTTGCAACCAAATACTGTAGCTTTCCTAAAATACCAAACACCGTAGTTTACAACTAATTCACCCAAACTGGACTTTAACTTACTGAGCAATTCCTCAGCAGCTAATTAGCTATGTGTTTTCTACTCATTTTCTCAAGGCGTACAGGGTTCTTATACCAATCGTCCATTGACTGGCAGTATATCACAGAAGTGCTAACTTCTGGCAAGTGTCCTGTGACAAATGCTAACCCTTGACAAATGCAAAGTGCTCAGCGACGTTATCCCTATTTTTATACATCTTTCTCAGGTTGCTTTACAACTTTTAACCCAAGCACATGCACCTGAATCAACACAACTGGCAACTTCTAACCCAATTTTTAAATCTTGACCAATGGGAAGAGCACACCTACTTGTCTGCACAACAATTTAACTTTAATTTTTATCTAAACACGTAAATAGATAAATTTCCTTGTAACCTCTAATCCCCAAGACTATATTTCTAAACAAACAACATTGTAGCTTTGGCCTCTGTTTTGTGCTAAGTCAGACTTGCTGGGACCCCGATGTGTAAATCTTTCTTGGCTGTAACTGCAGATAAGCCCAAATGTCCTTTCTAGAGAAAGCACCATGACAGTATTTGGCACTTTAAGAGATGTTAACTTTATCACTTTCTCAACCACATACCACAAAGATTCACAAAGCATAAAGCATACAAATTAAGCCTTTGTTACTAATGTTTTGTATGTTACAATTTAATAATGAAGCCTAATTAATTACACAAGTGTGCTATGAGGTGAAGTCTAACTTGATGGTGGAATGGGTATGTGTTTGGAAGCTCAATTCTGGGTCAAAAACAACACCGAGACCATGAATAATCTGATGCAGCCTCCGATTGTTGCTGAGGGGAAGAGTGTGGTAGTGACCAAAGACAAAGGACAGTGGCTTGTACTGCGATGGGGGTCTTGGCTGCTGGCTAGTGAGACCACGGCACTCCCTGCTTTGTGTCTTTTCAGGTAGACCTGGCAGTGGGTGCCATTCAGGCAGTTGATGTGCGAGCAATGGGCCTTTCCCAGGGACAAAGAGTCTGAGGAAGGTAGGAGATGCTTGGAGGTCTTGCCTTTTGATAGATTTTGGTCAATTGTTTGAAAAGTATAGCGCTGATACGGAGGTTGTGGCTGCTGTTGGGATGACAACTAGGTGAGCGGGGGTGTGTGGGAGTGTAGGCTATGTTGGAGTGGGGCATGAGGGGAGTTGGTGGAAGCTACTGAAGGTGATTGCCTCCCCACTACTCTACTTCCTGTTGACAATTTCCTTGTTCGGGCACAGAGTGCCTTTGAAGCAGTGACCTCAACATCGTGCTCCCACACCCCCCCCAACCCCAGAGTGACAAGTAGATATGCCAGTTGCATGGCAAGTCTCCAGACCCACTGCTGGGTTAATATCATTGGCAGCAGGTTGGATGCTGCCTGACTTGTTGAATACTTCACGTCAGGCTGGCACAACGAGTGCACACTTCAAAGAGGAACCCAACATCCCAATGGACTGGATGGAATGGCAGCAGGCATTTTGAAAGTTATTGGCCACTTGTTTTGTGTTCTTCTGGTTGGAAATATAAACAGACCAATCAGATTTATGATATACTTTAGCAAGGCAGAAGTCGGGCAAGTGTGGTGAAGGGGCAGTGGTTGAGTGGACCACCTCTGCTAGAAAGGGAGGAAGCAGCTGCATTTCATCAGACCCAGCTTCAACTGCTGCCTGTCCACCGTACCCCACCACCACCTCCACCTCACCACCAGTCTTCCTGGGATCCTGTCATCCACAGCATCCCCAGCATCTCACCCACAGCTTCCAATCCCCTCCTCACATCCCTGTCGTCCCCACCCCCCCACCCCTCACCTCCCCTGGGCCCCTGACACCCCTCAACACCAGCACCTTGACACAGCCCGACACCCCTACCTCTAGTCTCCCCACCCCCAGCGTGTTAGTGTAAGGGGCCATGCAGACCCAGATGCTCCCTCTGGCCCATCAACACCTTCTGATGTCCCGAGCCCTGTCTGTGCTAACACAAGGACCATTTAAGCATGATAGACAGTCGCTCAGTTCTAACACCATTTTTATTTACATTCCAAAAGAAAGAAATGTTTCAATGTTTATCATGATCCGGCAGCACTGTTACCTTTCACCGTGAGGCCGGACTCACCAGGACTGTGATTGATAGAGTGCAGCTCAGTCATTCCCTGTACAGCACTTCCCATCTGCTCATCATTATCATCGTCCATGACCGCCAGCATCAGATTTTCAAAGGTATGGCTGTAAAAGAGTAAAACATCTATGTGTGGCTGAAAGCCCAGCTGTAAGTCAGAGATACATTCTTGAGGATTATCTGATCAGCCTTGATCTTGTTGAATGATGCAGCAGGCTTGGTGGGCCAAATGGCCTTTTCCCACTCCTGTATGATGCTCTTATGACAATCCAAATGCTTCGTAGCCAATTTGGAATCATACTCATTGTATTAATGTAGATGCAGCCAATTTGCAGTCAGAAAACTCCCAAACTAACAGTGAGATAAATGACCTGATAATCTGCTTTAGTGATGTTGAATGAGGGAAGAATCTTGTCCAGGACTGCCCCACTCTTCTCCAGATTGAGTTAAAAGATCTTTTGTCTATCAATGAGTACAGGGCCTCATTTTAACGTAGATAACAAGGTGTAGAGCTGGATGAACACAGCAGGCCAAGCAGCAATAGAGGAGCAGGAAGGCTGACGTTTCGGGCCTAGACCCTTCTTCAGAAAAATGCTAACATGTTGTCATTTTAACGTGTCATTTTAACGTGTTGTTCAAAAGATGTCAACTCTGCCAATGCTGCATTCCTGCAATACTGTACTCTAGTGTCAGCCTAGAATTTGTATTGAACCCACAACCATTACAACTCAGATGGGAGTGCATTACTCACTGAGCCCCAGCGGACATTGGCAGTGAATAACAGAGCCAAGCACATTGGGAGGTTCCAGAATTGATATTGATCTGTGCTTGAGTTTGCTGGTTCTGAAACATTCTGTCAGTGAAATACTACAAGTATGCTCAGAATCCTTAAAATATACCGCAATAAAAATCACTGAGAATTCCCATCCCAGATCAATATAGTATATTGTTGTTGTACCAGATTATAGGATGGATGCAAATATACTGGAGAGAGTGCAGCAGCAATTTACAAG